AGGGCTTCCCCTCAGCTCTGCAGAGAGAAGCAGTAGGAAGCAGGAGAGGTAGGGCCATCATTTGGAGCATCCAGAGGAGAAGCAACAAGATAGGGCTCTTTAATGCCGGCCTGGACTGCGGAGAAAAGCTGGAGCAGCCCTGGGCCAGTGGCAACAGCACTGAAGAAAATATGGCAGCAGTGGTGGTACCAAAAGGACAATATCTCAGAGAGGTACTGACCTGTGAGGCTGCCTCCCACCAGGATTAAGCCATAAAGGATTGGGAAGGAGGCAATGAATGCAAGTGGCAGTGAGGAGGGCACTTGACCCCTCACCCTTTCCCAGGTGACAGGAAAGGGTTCGGGTACTTGGCATTCCAATAGTTAAGTATGTGTGATCTCTGACAGAACTATTGGTTTTGTTGTTATTTGGGTTTTATTTATCTTTCAGTATCATCTTCAGGGATTAAACATATGCAGAGATGACAGAAATGTTAGGGTTAACAAGCAAGGACTTTAAAATAGTTTTTATAAATATGTTTAAGGATTTGAAAGAAAATAAAGACTCAACTGAATAGAGGAAAAGTCTCACGAGAGAAATGGAAACTATAAAAGATAACTAGAAATTCTAGAACTGAAAGTTATCTGAAATGAAAAAATATCTCTAGATGAGCTTAACAGTACATTGCATTCTAGAGACAGAAAAAAATTGTGAACTTAAAGACAGCAATATAAATTATCCAAACTGAAGCACATATAGAGAAAAAAGACTAGAAATGAGCAGAGTCTCATTGACTTGTAGGGTAATATGAAGTGGCCTAACATCTATGAAACTGGAGTCTCAGAAGGAGAGGAGAGGGTGACTGGGATAAAACATAGATAGATAGATAGATAGATAGATAGATAGATAGATAGATAGATAAAACATAGATAGATAGATAGATAGATAGATAGATAGATATAGATATAGATATAGATAGATACATATATCTATATAGATATATATCAAGAAAAAGCTGGAAAAAATCCAAATTTGATGAAAAATATTAACCCGTGAGTTTTATAAGCTCAATGAGCTATAAGGAGGATAGAAATAAAGAAAACCCCTTCTAGGTACATCATAGTCAAATATCTAAAACCAAGGACCAAAGAGAAACATCTTAATAGCAGCCAGAGCGGGGGAAAAACTCCTTCTGCACAAGAAGGGGAACAGTATCTGACTTTTCCACAAGCCAGAAGACAATGCAATAATATCTTTAAAGTGCTGAAAGGAAGAAAATCTGTTAACCTGGAATTAGAAACCTAGTGAAAAGATCCTTGAAAAATGAAGGGAATAATAACAGTGAGAGCAAGAGCAAGAAAGAAAACAAAAGGAAGTAAAGGGAAAGAAGGAGGGAGGAAGAAAGAACGAATGAAAAAGAGAAACATTGCCAAATAAAAGCTGAGGGAATTTGTCAACAGTAGACATGTACTTTAAGAAATGTTAATGTCTTCAGGGTGAAGGAAGTGATACCAGATGGAAACTCAGATCAACATGGAAAATGAAGAATGCTGGAAATAGTAAATATGTGGATCAATAGAAATTTCTTTTTTCCTTGCCTATTATTGGAATGAGTGTCACTCTTAATTATACAGCTAAGTTCTTAGTGGACATTGCAGTTGTCTGGGAATCAGGACATCTAGGGCCTGGTTCATTTCTATGACCTTAAGTAAGTTGCTTAATCTCTTACCTTGCTTGGATCATGAATCAAGTAGAATTCTAATACTTGATATTTTTCTCTTTTTGGTAAGCATGCAATAAATAATTCCTTTTATCGCTGCGAAACACCTCCAAAGGGCTATCTACCCATTGCTTCTCAAATTTAGTGTGCGTATGAATTACCTGGGAATCTTATTAAATTCAACTACAATTGATAAACTCATTGTGGTATTGGTAAAAGGACAAATAGGTCAATGCTATAGAATAGAAATATATTCTTTTTTCCCCTTTTACTTCTAACCTGTTATTCTTTATACTTATACCTTATATTTAAAGCTTTTCTTTTACAAACTGTACATCTCTATATAAACAGAGATGTTTATATACATCTGTCTTATAAACTCATTTTTGTCTTTTTATTCACTTTTATAATCTCTGCCTTTTTTTTAAATTTTTTAACATTTTTTTAATTTATTTTTGAGACAGAGAGAGAGCATGAATGGGGAAAGGGCAGAGAGAGAGGGAGACACAGAATGGGAAGCAGGCTCCAGGCTCTGAGCCATCAGCCCAGAGCCCGACGCGGGGCTCGAACTCGGACCATGAGATCGTGACCTGAGCCAAGTTCAAACTTATCGAGCCAACGACCACCAGGTGCCTAATCCTGCCCCTATAACTCTAATTGGAGTGGTTAGTCTAATTATATTTAATATCATTGTGGATGTTGAGCTTGTATCTGCCATCTTGCTATTTGCCCCCTTCCATCTGTTTGTTTTGTCCCATCTGTTTTTATATTCCTTTGTTTCCTCCTTCCTCCTTTTGGATTTGCTGAGAATTTTTAAGTATTCTACTTTATCTCCTCTATTGGCCTAAAAGCTGTACGTCTTTGTTTTATTTTTTGGTGGCTGATCCTTAACAGAGTCTACTATGATTTCACATTATATCACTACACACGTAGTATAACAAACTCATGAAAGAATACTTCTTGTTCCCCAGCTTGTCCTTTGCACTATTGTTACATGTCATACTCCTTCATATGTGAAAGCCCCACAGTTGTTACTGTTTTTGATTTACATAGTCAATCATCTTTTAAAGAAATTAAATAATGTCAATATTAGAGCAGTCCTGGGAAACCTTCTAAGTTTACTCTCTGCTTGCTGTATTTTCCAAATGTGGTGTATAAAGTCCTCTACAGCCCCTACCCGCTGGGTTCAGGTGAAGCAACCCGTCAGTGAAGTCACCTCTGCTGACTTCTGAGGGTCTGTTCCTCAGAATCTCTTCAATATTCACAGTAGGAAAAGAGGACAGCAGGGTGCTTAAGAGGAGGGTGAATACTGACCAGGAGATGGAGAGGATAAAACCCCATTAAGTCTGTATCTTAAGATCTCATTAATCTTCACTTTTTATGAAGTATAATTTGAAGAGATATATTTCTTTTCAGAAAGCAAGTTGTGAGGCACTTGGGGGTTAGTTAGTTCACCCAGCGGGGGGATGCTGAAAATCATACTTGAATTGTCAGTAATTCCAGAAAGCAAAATTCAGGTACTAAAGAGTGAGTGGGTAATTGAAGTCCCTGGGCAAAGAAAGATCTTTGCTTCTTCCCAAGGTCATTTGGTATGGGAGTAAGAGGGTTTGAAGAAAATGTGTCATTGATGATTTAATAATATTTGACGTGAGAGATTACATTTCTCTCATTTCATTTTTCTTACATAGAAAACCCAGACTGCCTTAAACGTGCTAGTGATATATGTGGGTTAAAATTGCATTGAACAACATTGCATACACTTTCTAATCACCTCAACGTTTTTGAGTACTGTGTATCTCCATTAAAATATATATTTACATTATGCTTTAGATTTATATCTCCTTTTGACACTCTCATGTTTTGTAAGAATAGGAATCTTGTCTAAGGCTTCTCTTTAATGGGAATAGAAACCTTGCTAACATCTGAATCATGCTGAGCATAAAAAAGAAAAGTGGGGCCATCTCCACACTCAGTCCCCTTTCCTGGCATAGAATGACAGAGTATTGATGTAAAAAGGACTGCTTTTTTTTTTTAATATTCAAAGTGTTACTAAGTGCCGTGGTCCTTCATCTTTGGAAATATTGTGGCTTTCAGGGCCACTGGCTGTGTGTCATATTCCAGCAGAGAGCACAATGCATCAGCTGTGGATTTTCTTTGTATTCTCAGTGTTGTTCGTGGCTGTTTCTTTACATAATGGGCTGTATGACACCCTTCATTTTAAAAAAGCCCTTATGTTTATGATTACTGTCTCAAGTTATTGGGTCTGTGGCTGGCCTTGCACAGTCACCGGCCTGAGCTCACAGGAAAGTGGGCATAGTTGTCAGTGCCATGATGCTGTTCTGTTAGGTTAAATAAAATGTAGAAACTGGTGGTATCCAAAAAACTTCTGGTAAAAGCATTATCTTGGCAGCAGGGAGCTCCTGGGTGGCTCAGTCAGTTGAGCATCCAGCTCTTGATTTCGGCTCAGGTCACGATCTCCTGGTTTGTGGGATGGAACTCTGCATCGGGCTGACAGCATGGAGCTGCCTTGGGATTCTCTCTCTCCTTCTTTCTCTGCCCCTCCCCCCTCTCAAAATACACAAACATTAAAACAAATTTTCTTATTTGAATTAATGAAGAAGGAAATATATGCTGTGAATAATGACTGTTAAATAGCCTTGGTTTTTCTGTAAGGAATGTCCTCAGTGTTAGCACCTGCAGTAGGATAGCATGTGTCATATTGGTTTTATAATATTAGTATTTGTACAGAATGATGGCAGGAAGACAAAGTGGGTTTTATTCCTTACCGGTTATTATTGGCTGATGATACTCCTGTGAAGGCTTATGGTATTAGGTGAAACCATGTGAAATCATTGTTTATGTAGGCAATTTTATATGGCTCTAGGAAATAAGAAGTATTTTAATTAGTTTTCTCCATATCATTGTGAGTCTGCCGCAAATATTTTAAACGAATACATATATTTAAACTTGAAGGCAAGATTTCTTTGTTCTCACTCTTGCTGTGTTTTTACTCTTTGTCAGTGCCTTCTTGCTCTCCAGGAAATGGAGACTCTGTATACAGAAAATCTGGCATTTGCCATTCTGTAGCCCTCTTGAGAGGTAAACAAGTAAAAATACGAATATTACTTACTCAGTTGTGGGTTAAAGCCATCTTCAGATCCTTCTAACAATAATTTAAACTTCTGGCAGTTCCTTTATGAATTCTTTTTTCTGTAGAAAAGACAATTTCGTCACAGGAATATATTACAAGTATTAAGATATCTTTCCCCTCCCCCCTGCTCCCATATTTCTCCATTTTCAGTTTCACCTATACAAAACAGGAGCTCTGGTAGCCTCTGCTGAGACTTTTCGGTAGAAAATGCTTTGAAAAAGAAAAGAAAAGAGAGAAGCAGCTATTTTGAAGACTGACTTTCTAAAATTATATTTAGGTAAGCTAAATTTTCGATGTCATCCCTTATAGCCGAAAGTACACACATTTGATTTAATCATGTTAATCAAAATGTATTTGCATTCAAGTGCTCTTATATATCAGTGCTTCTGGATGGATTTAAATTATATTGACAGAAAACATCCATTTGCTCACGTTTTCAAATACCAAGCAGGTTTCAGAACCTTGGTCTACAGCATGGTTGTTTTGGGGGAAAAAAATGTAATTCAGCCAAAGCTGATCTTGTTTTTCCTTTATTCTTTAAGCCAGAAGCAATTACTTTTCATTTCAGGATTAAGCGGCTGTAACATTGCCATTCGTCGCCGAGGCTCCTGGTTTCAGCACGTCTCCTTGGTTCCCAGCCAGTCCTGGGTGTTCAGGTAGCAGCTGTGGCTGGGAGTGCCTCTCCAGCCCGCATTCCTTGGCTATGAATTCTGCAGCCCTGTTTATCTGATGAAGACCTCCCCATAGCGAGTTGCTCATGACACTGTCACACAGACCTTAATGGATGATATGGAAAGATACTGAATTTTTTTCCTCCAGGAATGCCAGCCAGTCCTGAATGCCAACCAGTCCCTTCACTTTGGCTGATCACTGCAGAGGCCTGGTGCTGAGGTCTGATGAGACCTGTTCCACATAAACCAAATTCTAACAGGATGCCTGCAAGTCCTCTCTATGAGGCTGTCACGCAAGCCTGTTCAGAGACTTTTCGGCAATTACACTTGCTCAGACATTGATTCTCACTTCTCTGCACTAATTATTTACTTCAATTTTTACTTTCAATCTATAAATGTTAGCACTGTCAGCACTCACAGACCTGTCTTCTTTCTCTTGAAACCATGACTTTACTTGGGATAGCTTGGGATGCTTTAGAGCATGGCTTTCTCACTATGTCATGTGTCTTCATTTTGCTTTCCCAAACCAGACTGTAAACTCCCTGAGAGAGGAGACTCTGAAAAGTGGTAATATCTTATATACACAGATACACAACAAATAACAAGAACAACATTTGGACAAAAAGACTGTTGTTGCTCTTAGTAGTGGAGAAAATTTGCCTTAACATGTTCAGAAGACTCTCGATCGGCTGCTACAACATATGTCTCTTCTCCTTTCCCCTGCCTGCCCTCTGCTGGAACTGCTAATGAGCAATAAGAGGGCCAAAGCAGGACGTGGTGTGGGAAACATGGGAAAATAGGGGCTTGTCTGACTGAAAAGCAAGTTGAATAACTGTGATTTGTCAATTCACAACCTAGATCTTTGAAGCTCCTCCTTACTTGCCTTTGGGCAGCTAGCAGTCTCATTACAAGACCCTTTATTGGTTCAGCTGTGCCTGGGAATGTGCTTCTACCTAATGGCATGAGATGGACCAAATGACCTTGTGTGTCTTCCATTCTTCTTTGCTTGTTTCACCTCTCTGTCTTGCAGTCATCCAATAGATGGCAGATAGCTGAGCCAGATAGTGCCCCGTCCCAAACATAAATGCCCTCCTGTTTGCCAAACCCTCAAAACCTTCACCACCTTCACATATAACAGGCTTTTACGAGGATCTGGCAAGACTGCCGCTTCGGTAATGCAATGCCGAAGGTAAGCTTGAAACTCTAGACTGGTTTCCTGTTTCGAAGGGCAGCAGGATGTGACCGCTGCAGAGGCAGCCCATTTGCCCTTGGAGAGAAGCAGGAGTGTCTGATCACTAGATGACCTCTCCCTCCTGCTGGCTCAGGGATGGTGTGAGCAGTCTCACTCTCCCTCCTGCCCTTGGTCAGATGGTGAGATGTTATGAAAAAAGGGAGGAAAACATGTTTTTTTGCTTTTGTTTTATTATTAAAAGAGGCACTCTCTGAAGAGGCAGAATCCATTAGCTGAATCCATTTCAGTGTCTATGGTTAATTAATTTAGGCAGCTTTAATCCACTTTTATTATGTAGCCTTTAAGAGCAATTCTGGTAAATGTCCATCCCATAAATACTAGCACTACTTTATATGTATGATACCCTTTTTTGGAAGGGTGAATCTGAATTATTATCCAGATATTAATTTGCACACAACTCTGTCTAGACAATGCAAAAATGCTTCCTCATAGTTTGAACATCGTTCAATACATTTTGAAGTGGGGAAAACGGCTCAGATATGAGACTTCACATTTTAAGTCAGTGAATAAGTCAGTCTGTTTGCTTCCCGAAACATAACTCTGAAAATCAGTCTTATCATACTATGAACTGAATAATTGATTTCCGCATTTCATTCTGTAAATTAAACACTAGACTTTGAATTACTAGAAGAAATAGCACAGTTAGCCAATAAGGCTTTCTTATAAAATGACAGCATTTTAATTTAGTGTATGCATTAGCATTTATTCATGGCTAAGATTTCATCAATCAATTTTCCATTTAAAAAAGATGTCTTTGAAAACAACAGTAGAGAAATGCTGAGTTCCAAAAGCAACGTTGTGAAAGGCAGCAGCTCTAGCATTTGGGGCACGTGTTTAACTTAATTATAGTCAATAATTATGTAGCTCCAAGCATAAACCCACATTTTTAAAATTTATTTATTTTGAGGGGGGGCGGTGGTGGAGAGAGAGAATCCCAAGGAGGCTCTGCTCTCTCAGCACAGAGCCCAACGCAGGGCTCCTTCTCATGAACCGTGAGATCATGTCCTGAGCTGAAATCAAGAGTCAGACACTCAACCAACTGAGCCACCCAGGTGCCCCTAAACCCACATATTTTTTTGAGTTTATTTATTTATTTTGAGAGAGAGAAGGAGGGTGCAAGCAGGGGAGGGACAGAGAGGGAGGGAGAGAGAGAATCCCAAGCAGGCTCTGTTCTGGAGCACAGAGCCTGACACAGGGCTTGATCTATAAACCCCAAGGTCATGACCTGAGCCAAAACCAAGAGTCACAGGCTTAACCGACTGAGCCACCCAGGTGCCCCTAAACCCCCATTTTTTAAGCATCTACCTTATGAACTGACTTTCTTGGAATGTCAGAGTTTATAAAAGAAAATATTTAAAGTTTAATGAGAGGTGTGTTGTATTTGTTCAAAATTATAACAATGTCTGATATTATTTTAAAATATTTATTTTGCTACTTTCTATGCTACTTTTGGTTTTTAAATTTGTTTACAGTAGTATGTCAGTAGTTGGCTTCAGATTACATGAATATTAGTACTTTTTGATAATTTTATTATTTGCTTTTTGAAAATATTTTAAACTGAAAGTGACTTCAAAATAGAAGCTTTAAGAATTCCTACCACCAGTTAAATACTAATTTTAAATCATTTATTCATTTCATTCATTCAACCAAATTGTATTTAACACATAACAGGACTGACTTATCCATATGCAAGATAGGCATAGCACCTGGAGCCCACAGGACTTTTAGGGGCCCATGCAAATGTTTTAACTTCCTTTAAAATCAGAAGGAAAAAAAAAAAAAGAAATTTTAGGTCAAAGGAAATGTTTAAATATATAGAACTAATCTATTCATCTTTTTTACCAATATGGTCATAAAATACAATTTTCAATATTTTGTATGGTGGAAGAAGTTCATGCAGGCTAACATTCCCAGGACCCACAGAAGTACTATTGCAACCTGTGCCAAATTCTACCTATACTAGATTCTAGAGATAAAAAGATGAGTAAGACACAATTTCTATGCCCAAAGCAGCATAGTCTAATGAAGAAAATGGGCATATAGCAGACAGTTCATAAAATGGTTTCCTTGAATTTGTTTGAAATAGTTGTTACAGCTTGAGGAACACAGGCATTTTTCTACAAAATGTCATTTAACATGTAGCCCTGGTCTTAACCTTCTTTCAGTTAACTTATACAAAAATAGGATTTGCATACTTCAATGATACATAGACACCATGACTATATGTTTGTTTCTTTTAAACACTAGTGATATTACCATCTGGATCTGTAAGCGAAAATATTCATATTTTACTAGCAACTTCATTAACAGGGCCACGAAGGAAATGCCAGGTCCTCCATATTGATGGTTCAGTGAGGAAATTAGAAATGTCTCCCTAGCATAGCAAAGCTAACTTAGCTTATATCTTTTAGAGTTTTATTGAGGCTTCAAAAATGGAGCTGAATCTTGGCTATACTTTCTGTCTTCATAAAATGTCTCATTTATATAAGATTCAGCTTTTATTTTTTCAATTACTACTTCTAATGCCATAATTGGAGTAGTCAGAATGTTCTAAGCCTAAATCTTCCTTGCTAATATTTGGGCCCACTTCCACATTTTTTTGTTGCCAATTGGAGAACGATTTTTGATCACTTTTTATTTTTAGGGCAATTTTACCTGCATTATCTTATTATACACATGCAAATGCTTTTTGAATAAGTAGGGCATCATAGGACATTGGAAAGAGCACAGACTCTGACAGACCTGGCTATGGATCAGAATTCTGTCACTCAAGCTATATGACTTTGGTCAATTCATTTCACCTCATTGAATCTCAGCTTCCCCCTCTGTAAAATGGGGATTGTTATGCATGTGTTACAAAGTTACATTAGGAACTAGACTAATGTATGTTAAGCATTAGGCCAGTACTTGGAATATAGTGGATGCTAGATAAGTAGCTGCTATTATTATTTTCCATGTTTTACAGATTAGGAAGCTGTAACACAGACATATTAAATGGCCTTGGCCAGCTTTGGGGGGATAAGGTTCCCAGTTATTATCGGAAAATTGCAGCCTGACTTTTGATCAAGCCTCACTGAGAATGAGGTTGTAGGACACACAGAAAAGTTCAGAAGCAAAAAGTATAGAAAAATCAGTAACACCAAAGCAAGCAAATAATCAACATGTATTTATTGAGCACCTTGTAAGCATATGGTATTCTGTGCACAAGTTGGGTTACTTTGGATTGCAAATGGCCAAATCCCAACTTGCACACACAAAAAGGAAAACTTATTGGCTGGTGTAACCCAAACACAGGTTGTAGGGAACTGATCATAGAGATGTCTGAATTCAATGTCAGGAACACTTTTAGGGCTTACACTCTCTATTTCTGACAAGAGTTTCTATTTCTGACAAGGTTATCTTTGCAGATAGCTGTCTCTATGCCATGGGGAATATGGCTTCCAATAACTTTGGTCTCTCATCTTTTCCTAGAAGCTCTTCTACCAGCAAAGAAAGAGGATTTCTTCCCATTTGGCTCCAGCCTGGAAACAATCCCAAGAATGACTTGTATTGGATCAATGGAGGTTGCATACTCCCTCCCAAACTGCACACCAAGCCAGGAAGATGGGGTAATATGATCGGTCCAATCAAGAGTTCATGTCGACCCTTATCATTAAGGTGTTGGTTTTATTTTTTTCTCTTCATGGAAGGAAGTTTATTGGAGCAAGCAAAGATAGTAACCTTTATCTTATATGAGATGTAATAAAGAAATTAATATTTTAATGGTAGAGTTGGTTTAAAGAGCCAAAAGACTAGAATCTCAAGATGTCTAGCTAAGATACTACAGGGCCCAGGTGGACATGTCATGTGGATTTTTCAGCCAAAAAGGGAAACTTACCATATTTTTGCCTCCCAACGTATTAGCTCATAGAGTACAGACATAAATTTATTTCTTAACATGCATGTCTTTTAATGGAGAAAGTTACAGACACTTGGGTACTATCTTAGAAAAAGCAGAACTCTTAGGGGCACGTGGGTGGCTCAGTCATTTAAGTGACTGACTCCTAATTGATTCTGGCTCCTATTGATTTTGGCTTAGGTCATGATCTCACAGTTGTGAGACTGAGCCCTGATTTGGGCTCTGCAATGAGCATGGAGCTTGCTTGGGATATTTTCTCTCTCTCTCTCTCTCTCTCTCTCTCTCTCTCTCTCTCTCCCTCTCCCTCTCCCTCTCCCTCTCCCTCTCTCTCCCCCTCTCCCTCCCTCCCTCCCTCCCCCTCTCTCAAATAAATAAATAAACTAGAAAGAAAAGAAAAGAAAAAGCACAACTCTCAAGAGGGTGGCTGGAGGCTGGACCATAGACTGACTTCCTGTCCTTTGAAAAAGTCCTGGGGGAAATGCATTATTCTAACAGCTTGCTTAATGCTTTTGCTTCCTGTGGAGAGGGGTTGGGGGTAGGAACTCAAAGCAGACTTATAAATTGAGTTCTATAGTGGAGGGACTTCTCCAAAACTCTTGGCTGGGTTTATTTAAGACACTGAACTGTTTGCTCTTGGCTCCAGTATTTCAGTGTCCACTCACTATTTCGTTCATAGGAGAACATGGTATTATATTAGAGATATGGGGAGATCATGACTGGGGGAGGAGACTGTTTTGACTTTTTATGCCAAAATCAACATTCCCCGCTCATGTCACAGGAGCCCCAGAGCCTCCTGTCATCTGGGCTCTCCATTCAAGGTTACCTTGATTACTTTCAAGGCTTTAGTCATGAATCTTTCTTAACTATTTTTACCTCAAAATAGTGTCTTTAACAACTCACTGTTGCTTTTTTCTGTGTCAAAATTAGAAGTATCCCAACTGTTTTCCAGCACCAAATTCTTTCCTCTTTCACCTCCCTGGGAAACTAACTCCATCCATTATGCCAACTTCTGTTTACATCTTCGATTACCCCTTTGCTGCACCTTTCTCCACACATCTACCTACAGGACTGTCCCCTTGAGATATCATCAAAAGAGATAATGAATGTGGGTGTACTCTATGACTGTAAAGTGTAATATAAATATGGAATAACATCATTATCCTATCTTTCTTAACAGTCATCTCAAAAAATTATCAATGTAATGTATTTCTTGACTTTACTTTCTCACTATCAACTCATTACTTAATGTCTTAAAATCTGATGTGTCGTAATGTGTTGAGGATGGGAGGGCGGGGGCAGGTGTCCATATCTTTGAGTCTTCTTCCAGTATGTGGCACATTTGACTCTGCCCTCTCTTTCAGTGTCTGTAACTCACTGCTTTGGTTCACCTCTCTGAGTACTCTTCTCTCTCCTTTAATGCCCATCTTTTTCCTTCTGCCTCTGAATGGGAGTTGTCTCTGTCATTCTGTTCTTGCTCCTACTTACCCTGCCCCCTCTCTTTTGTTCTCATAAATACTTGTTAAAACAAATCTCATCTCTGTCTCTTCCCTTCAACCTGTTAAATGCCCACTGTAATTTTAACCTACATATCTCACTAGCCCCAAACATGAGGTATGTAAAATAAACTCTTACCCCGTCCTAAATATCTTCCACCCTATCTCAGCCAACAGTGTTACTTTTTAGTCACCTAGGCTTGAAACCTTGGTCCCTGTTTTGATTCCTTGCTCTCTTATCCCTGAATCCAATTTAAGCTATATTTTAAGAACATATTATTCTGTTCACCTGTCTTCACTCTGTCTCTGCCTTCTGCCTTCTCTTTCTTCAGGCAGTGATAGTTCAAGCTGCTGGGATAGCACACAGTCATATTTTGCTTTTGGTAAGGTTGTCTAGCAGTATTTTGTGGCCATACTTTTTTTCTCTTCCTAATTCTGGATTCTTTCCCTTTTTCTGAACTGAATAACCATTTGAACTTTATTCATAAAGATCACTAAATCTTTTTCTACACTAATACCTTTCTCAAAACCTAAATATATACTAACATGTTTCGAATGGCCTGTATAACATGTCTAGTTAAGTAACAGGTGTAAGCTGACCATTGTTTATAAGCATTGACATGAAAAAAATACATTTCATAGCTATGTGTTTTATTAGTATAATTTCACGTCTTCAAATATAGTCAGTAACTTCATATTAGGATATCATTTCAACCATATTTGATTTAGAAAGCTAAAGTTTGGAAGATCTAATGATGGGCTAGTAAATGTATATTAAACATATTGCTTAAGTTTTTATACATTTCTAGCAATCATCAGCATATAATTCCAGTTTATGTGTAAACTCATCAGAAATATCACTTCAATCTCTAGGACTCGTGTCCTCTTGCTTTATTTCTGCATATCCTATTAATAAGGAATGATTAAGGACAGCTTTAGTTTTCTCAGTTTCAACCTTAAAGATGTATATGGTAACAATCGCATACTGTGTAACTGTTAAAAAAAAATCGAGAAGCTCCTTATGTGTTTATATGGAAAGATCTCTGTTATAAACTGGGTGTGTCTCCCCATCCCCCCAATTCCTGTGTTGTTGAAGCCTTAAACCTGAATGTTATGGTGTTTGGGGAGTAATTGGGGTTAGATGAGGTCATAAAGATGGGATCGCATCAGGGTGGGATCACTGTTTTTATAAAAACAGACACTGGAAGACATACTGTTTCTCTCTCCCTAGTGAGGACACAGTGAGAAGGTGGCCATCTGCAAGCCAGGGAGACAGCTCTCACCAGAACCCAACCATACTGCCACCCTGACCTCAGATTTCCAGTCTCCAGAACTGTGAGAAAATAAACTTCTGTCGTTTAAGCCGCATAATCTATGGGGTTTTCTTATGGTCGCCCAAGTTTATTAATACAATCTCCAAGATTTATTTGTAGGTAGGGAAAAAAGGGTGCCAAAAGAGTGTACTGTTGGGATGAAAAAAAAGAAAAGAGTCTATACTTGTACTGGTTTGTATATCCATTCTAAACGTCCTAGGAATAAATGAGAAACTAATAATGTTGGTTACTTTTTTGTGGGGCTATAAGAACTTGACAGAGGACGGGGTGGAAAGGAACCTTTGCTGTATATCCTTCTCTGTCTTTTGATGTTTGAGCTATGTGTATGTGCCCCCACTTCAGAAAACTAAATAAATAAAATTCATTTAAAAATAATAATAAAACCACTTGGAAAAACAATATTATATTGAAATAAGGAAAATATGGATTATATTGAAAGAAAATTATTGATTAGCAGAATAATTACGGCAGAGATTGACGTTTGAAGATGAAGGAATATGAGCAGTTATATTAAATTGCTTTCTTGGGCCATTATTTAACAATTGCTGTGATCATGTAGACAGTTCTGTCTACTGCCCTTTCCTGGGATCTGCATTGCTGACAACAACAGAGCTTGAAGTACCCCATGTAACATGCGTTTGATTGAAAGATGTTGGCCATGGGTTCCCGAGTACTCTCTTGGTCGTCCGTCTGGGAGTAAAGCCTTCTTCAGCTTCCCTCAATTGGTGGTCCAGTATTCAAGGACAACTCCTGAGAGAAGGACCAAGCCATTCATTTGAAAGAGGCCAGTGTCTCTTCTGTGGACAAAGATGTAACATCTCTCACAACTTACCTTGGCCAATTAAACATCCAGTTGTTCTAGAGACATTACATCATGCTACTCCCAAGTGTTGTCCTTAAATATAATAATGTAATTCTGGTCATTTCTTTGCTTTTAACTTCCATCAAAGATTTCTTCTCCATTGGTCATCTGGCCTATCTCTTTATCCCCATTGACTGTTTTTTAAGTAAACTCTATGCCCAACATGAAGCTTGAACTCATGACCATGAGATTGAGTCACATGCTTTACTTCCTGAGCCAGCCAGGCACCTCCCCCCTACATTGACTCATTTTGAGCTGTTCTGCCATGACCCCAAAGTACCTTTATTTCTGTCCCCACGCCTTCATAAATGTCATTTCCATTGCCTGGACTACCCTTCTATTTGTTTCTGTTGATGAAGTTCCCTAAGTGGAGTTGACTGTTTTTCTTGACATCACCCTAAATTTTTGAACAGCAATAATATTCTCTATGTGCTTTTTACTTCTTGTCAGATTCAAGAAGTTTGGGGGCCATAGCATATTCATTTTGCATCCCCAATGCTGGCATCCAGTAGGCATGTGATGGTTGAATGAATGAATAAATATACACTCTGGCCGAAATGTTAAAGACAAAAATGTCATAGTAGCCTATAATAAAATCCTAACCAATGCTTAGGGAAAATGCCTCACAGGAGGATTCTAACTCTCTGCACTGTGATTGTGTTATTCAGGTCCTGATTGACTTGTAAGAGCTGAATTCTGTCAGAACCATTTTTCCATTAGCCTTTTGCAGGGGGTTGGGGGACTTTCAATTGTGTGGATATTTTGTGCATGTTTTGAAAACTCTGCTGGGCATCCCCCTACTAAGGCATCTCTTTGAGGATTTCCTCTGTTTAAGAGCATTTTATTTCTAACATTTTAAAGTATAGATGGCAGCTCTCATTCCAGTGGATTTTCATCCTTATCTCCAGAAAACCATATTTTGTATGCTTTGTGGCAAAGTAAGTTATGCATCTATAGAAGTCACCCCGTGGAAGTGAGCCTTTGGGTAGAAGGCTCAGCTCCACATTTGCTTGCCAGAGAGTAAGAGTGACAGCAAGGTGATTTCTGTCACTTTGTAGTAGGTATCTTTCTCGTGTAACTTTCTCAAAGATGCTCTTTTAAAATATTGAGATATTTGCAGAAAACAAATCATGAATATTTTCTAGCTAAAAGAATTCACTTGCCACCTTTTGGAGGGTTTCAGCTGTGTCAATATGGTACTAGGGAGACAGATATTAGAATTAGGCCCATTATCTTTTGTTAATTCAGTTTACCCTGGACAAAGTAAATTAAATGCTTGAACTCCAGCTATTAAGACATGCTTGTATAAACATGGCCTCATAATAATTTGCTCTCAAAGTTCATTGACTTTTAAGTGTCTTACTGATGCTGCTAAAATGTGTTCATTTATATATCTAATGTATTAGCATTTATTTTCTATATTATCTTGAAATCTCGTGTATAGCGTGATGAGCGTAGTTAACAAAACTTTATTGTATACTGGAAATTTGCTAAGAGAGAAGATTTCAGGTGTTCTTGCCACACACACACAAAAGAAAATGTGTTTGGGGTTGCCTGGGTGACTCAGTCAGTTGAGCATCTGACTTCGGCTCAGGTCATGATCTCAAGGTTCATGAGTTGGAGCCCAGCATCAGGCTCTGTGCTGACAGCTCAGAGCCTGGAGCCTGCTTCGAATTCTAGGTCTCCCTCTCTCTCTGCCCCTCCCCTGCTTGCTCTCTCTCTCTCAAAAATAAATAAACATTTAAAAAAGTTTATTAAAAGAAAATGTGTTTGGAGATGAACATGCTTTTTAGGTTAACTATAATTATCTCACTATGTATATTTATATCAAACATCACGTTGTACTCTTTAAATATATACAATCATTATTATTATTCTTTTTTTTAGAGAGAGAGAAAGAGAACATGAGCAGGATAGAGGAGCAGAGAGTGGGGGAGAGAGAGAGAATCTTATGCAGGCTCCATGCTCAGTGCAGAGTTCAACACAGGACTTGATCCCACAACCCTGGGATCATGACCTGAGCCAAAATCAAGAGACTGAAACTAAACCAATTGAGCCACCCACTCACCCCTATACAATCGTTATTTTTTAAAAAACAAGATTTGCAATAGATTGAATGCAGAAGATAGAGGAATCCAGCTGTCCTCCATTTTGCAAAAATGTAAAATAATGCCATTCAGTATATATTTTTTGTTTTGGAGATTATGGTTACTTTTTCATAAAAATACATTATTTGTGTTCAGTTAAAAAAATCCAAAACATTTTCTATAGTAATGAGCACCATTGAAGTCTGAGTCCGATATACATTGGAGCACAATCCTTACACTTTTCTCCATATAAATAGCACATTTGTTCTTAGTGACATGTGGCTGAAGGCAAAACTTAAATCCAACAGAATTTGCTGGATCTTAGTTCTGATGCCATTTCTTGCAACCTTTGGATATAAAAATGACAGAAGTCTTGGAATATTTCTCCCACTCCAGAATTTTAGTTATTTTGCAGTCACAAATCTGCAAAATCTCCAGATTTTCCCTCCTCCAGGAAAGAGAGTCTTAATTAAATAATTAATTAAGCCTTTTAAAAAACAAGCAGTTCCCTGTGGATTGCTTTTATAATTGCCTCTACACTCCTCAACTACCTAAGCGAACTGCCTCATTTGTTCTCAATATAACATTTTACCAATTTAATTCATCCCATTGTTTACTATAAAGCTCATGTGTCTCTGTTGTCATCATCTGTTCAAAGCCATAAGGTCCCAGAAGAACCAAGTATCCTTAATTTATTTTCTATGGGGCCTAACCAGCATTATATGATATTAAACAGGTAATAATTATGTTTAATGTGATGGTGATAAAGACAGGAATCTATAGTAGGCTGATAAAATATGAATTTAACATGAAAACAGACACTTATTAAAGCTTTAGTGCTTTTTATAGCACACAGTAGTCTATCAGTGGCTCAGAAGAATTTAGTATGATGTGAAAACATGGATGAAAAGGTGCAAAATAGCCAACTTCCAATGACTCATAGGGTACATGTGTCCCTTAAGTTGCTCGCCTGCCTTTGCCCTATGGCCATGTTTCCGTTTTTATGATTCCAGCCAGAGAAGGCATAGAGGAGGTCAAATCAGTGAATTCTCTAAATAGTGATAGTTCTGGTAATAATGTTACTCCAAGAGGGGCACCTGGGTGACACAGTTGGTTAAACATCCGACTTTGGCTCAGGTCATGATCTTGCAGTTCATGAGTTTGAGCCCCGTGTTAGGTTCTGTGCTGACAGCTCAGAGCCTGGAGCCTGCTTCAGATTCTGTGTCTCCCTCTCTCTCTGCCCATCCCCCACTCAAGCTCTGTCTCTCTTTCTCTCTCAAAAATAAATAAACATTTAAAAAATAATGTTACTTGAAGAGAAGGTGGTAATGACTGCTAAATCATTATTTTGAGGGATTATTGTAGAATTAGATCTTGATGGAATTAGATCTGGCATTAATAAATCAACATTCATTGAATGTTTAGTTGGTAGAAACATGGAGGAATTCCTTTTTCTGTCAGAGGCTCTGTATGGCAAGTCTGACTGTGGAAGATCTTGTATCCATGGGAGAAAGTCAAATGGTTGATCTTCATGAACTAGCTGAGCTTGGAGGAGCAAGCCTGAAAGACAAAGTAGTTTTCTAAAAATGAAGGATTTAACCTTTGTTCTAGTCCTTTCTGTCAGCAAGAAAACTGTCAAGGTTGATTTCAAATAAATCATCATCCTTGGCATTTCCCCCCCAAAACTGCCTCTCTGTCACTTCATAGAAATTGCTACTTGTCCTCAGTTGTATGTAGTATTAGCTCAGACATTGTACACAATTCATTATACCACAGAAATTGAAAAAAAACCACATCATATATTATAACATTATAATATAATATAATATAATATAATATAATATAATATAATATAATATAATATAATATAATATATTTCCCCTGAACTGGCTATGTATCAATAAACTCAGGAGTATTAGAGTTAAGGTCTGAAACCACAGCCACTTTGTCACTTAGCGGTCAGTGTTCTTCCAAGAGAGATTAGGAAGTGTTTGGCTTATAGACAAGCTTTAAAAATTACTGAGAAATGCATTTTTGCCAGGTCTATTAATATTACTTCTACTTAGATCATCATATTTCTTC